TATTTTATTACTTTATATATTTCATTTTAATTTAATTTTTCTATTTTTGTTTCTATTTAAATATAAAATATAAAAAACCAAAATCGATTTTGATTCGAATCAAAACTGATCTGATCTGATCTGATTGGTTTATAAAATTTTAAAACTGATCTGATCCAATTTTTATCGGGTTAAAAATTTTAAAAACTGAACTGATCTGAACCAAAACTGATTCACGGATTAATCAGTTTTTAGTTTAAAACTTGGATTCCTAATTGAAAGTATACATTGACATCTCTTGGATATATATTGTATATAACAAGTTAAATGCTAGCTTGCTTACTTAATTACTATCTAACTAATATTATAAAAAATTTTAAAAGCAATACTAAAATGTTAGATAATAAAGTAGTGGCTATGCCTATCTACTTGACAAAATTTTGTGAAATTTTTTGATTTTTTGAATAAAAGATAAATGAAAAGAAAATAACAATTGTAACTAAAACTAAAACTAAATCAAATAAACTATAGAATCTATAAGTAGAAATTTAATTATTTCTTCAAAAAAGCCCTTGGACAGATATGTGGTTCCATCTCTTCGGCTCTTTAGTTATCATAGATAAAAGAATACATGTGATATTGCTTATAGTAGTAGTAATAGTAGTTGTAGTAGTAGTTGTTGTTATTGTTATACTGAAAAACCAATTTGAACAGGTTTGATTTTTTTTTTTGTTGTTTTGATGAAATCTGATTGAATAATTAGAGAGCAATGATTATCTGAAGAGGATAAACTGATTTTAGTTTTTTGAACAAAAGGTTTTAGAAATTTTGAAATGGCACAGTAAGTATCACCATAATAGAGTTGTATATAAAGGTTGTATTAAAACAAACAATAGATTCAATAACTTTGTTTGAGTGTGTTTTTTGAAAAGTATTTGACTTAGTATATATAATAGTATTGATGTAGATAGTTTTTATATTATAATAAGTGAAAGAAGAAGTGCAAGAAAACAAAAGAAAAGAGAATTGCCACAGGCCTTATGCAACTGAAGGATAAGCAAGATTTTCAAACTTGAGTAGACTTTGATCAAAGGTTCTATTCTATTGTATCAGTTGTCTTAAAGGTTCTTGAGTTTCTAAGCTGAAGCTTACTTGTAATAAAAAGTATAAAATTTTTTTCTTGACAAAAATGACCATAAAAAAATTTTTAGTAAAGTAAATACAATCAGGAGAGAGTTTTTTGTAACTTTGTATTGATTATTATGCCTTAAATAAGATTATTATTAAGAATTAATATCTTTTATATAAAATTAATAAATTAATGAATTAATTAGCTAAAGTCAAGTATTTTAGCAAAATTGATCTTTACTTAGAATATTATTAAATTTGGATTAAGAAGTAAAATATTTACAAAACTGCCAGAAGAATTGTAGAGAGAACAACAAAAGTAATCAATGAACTATAAAAAAAAAGATGTAAAGAAATCACAGAATGGAAAGAGATAAATAACATCAGCAGAGCGGACAAAAGAAAGCAAAGACATGGATCATATCAAACAGAAGTCAAAAAAGATAGAGAAAAAGAGAAAATAGCAGCAAATAGGAAGAAGAATCTGGGGAGGAAATTGCTGGAAAGATGGGTAAAAAACACGGATAAAATGACAAGAAACAATTTTTTCTATTTATATACCAGTAACATTAACAATAGTGATGCTTTGGCATGTTAGTTTCAACCTCTATTCATTAGGAAAAGTTAATAGTAACAGTCAATATCTAGAAAACCTCGATATAGTTTAGCATACACTTATTAATTAATGTTATAGCATAGTTTATATATAGAAATGTGTACGAATATATATAAATATTGACTTTAATAAAGTTTGCTAAACAAGGTTAAGCTAGTTTAAAAAAAAAAATAATAATAATAATAATTATGTTAATTTTTTGAAAGGATAAATTACATTCTTTTTTTAAAAACTATGAATACCTTTTTTTGCAGTTCATATCTTAAGAAAAATTATTATTTTTTAATAGTTATTAAAAAGAAAAATCAATTGATTAGAGAAGTGATTAAATGAAAAACAATATTTTAAAAAAGAAAAAAAGATTTTAAAAAAAAAAGAAAAAAAAAAGAGTATATTAAAAAGAGTTTAAAAAATATTAGAAAAAAAATAAAAAGAAGATAAGAAAAAAAAATAAAAAAAAGAAGATTAAAAAAAGAAAAAAAACAAAGTAAAAAGTAAACAACTTAAAAATTTTTTTAAGTAATAAAAGAAAAGTAGAAAAAAAGTTTTTTTTTCTAAATAAAATTTTTTATAAATAAGTAATTGTTTTTAAGTGAACTGAAATTTTTTTGGCATAATTCTATATAGTATTGTTTAAAAGTCTACTAATTTTGCTTAAATAATTCTAAAAAAAAATATGTATACTTATAATTTTTTCAAATTTTCTAAAATTAATAAAGATTGACATATATATATTGTTTAAAAGTTAGATTCAAAAAAATCATATCTAGCATTTTTGTTGCCTTAAAAAATAATTACTCAAATACGTATATATTTTTTAATTTTATATTTATTTATATAAGCTTATATAACTTAATATCTTTATTTATAATAACTATATTTTTTTAAAAATAATAAAAATTTGTTTATTTAAAAAATAAATTAATAAAAAAAAATTATACAATATACAGTATATTCAATTATGACTTGGGATTTAGTATGCTATTGATAATAATTATAATCGTATACTGTATTTTATTTGATTATCGTATTATAAATGAAGTATGAAAAAATTGGGGACATGTGTCGTATAAGGATATCACACATTTAGCGATTATCATTTCCTAGTTTGGATTTAAGATGTTTTAAATTCATAAATTCATGTATTACAACATTCATATATATCATATGAGCATTCGCACAGCCAATAGGTAGGTTATTTTTAATTGGCTTTTTAATTTAAAAAGATATTCTTGTTTTCGTTGTCTTGTTAAACCGTGACGGATTAAATTTATTAGTATTTAGGGAAAAGTAATATTTATTTGTCTCAGGGTCTTAGCTTTGAATGATAAATTAGAATATACCTTATTAGTAATACCTTCTGTGTAAAGATTATCTTTACCAAATATGTAAGAATTACATTTTCATGGATGACCATGCTTCTCATATTTACCAACAGGTTCGTACATGTCGATATCGATATATATATATTATACTATGTTGTGTTGAACATAATCTTTACGTATTGGTTGGTCATTTAGATTACTATCTACTTTTGGTTAGTCTATTATATATTACAACAGTTCAATAACAACGGTTACTGGTTAACAGTATCATGGAAGTCGCAGTAACACGTTATGCAATTTATCTTCACATGTTGCACCTTTATTCTTTCTCAATTCACTTCTACTTTCTTCCTTCTTGTTGCTCTGCTGGCGTATTAGAAGCAGCACGAAATTCACTTTCCATCCCTTCAATTCCTCGTCCCTTAACATTACCTCCGCCCCGTCACCCACTCCTTCCTTCCTTCCTTCCTTCAATTTCACCATTATCCAACTCCTTTATTTCGTGTGAATAGGAACCTTTATTACTAGTTTTTATCATCCAAAAAGAAATAGTCAATGCATTATCAAAAACGAAAATAGAACCCTCAAATAAAAATTTTGAATCAATATACTTCGCTACCTTATTCCCTTTTGTAATCACTGTCAGTCATTGCGGTAAAAATCGGTTGTATATAGAAAAAAATGGATCACCAAAACTCTCCTGATAATAGAAATCGATTGAATCCCAATAACGGAGGTTATTCGCAGGGATATTCGAATAACAGACAACCGATGTATGGAGATAGTCCACGTTCGCCACGTGGTCCTCCTAGTCCTCATCTCCCACCTTCTCCTAATCGAAATCCGTACCAACAGGGACCGCCAAATCTGTTTATACCGCGTGGTCCATCAAGTTCGGGACCTCCACCGTTACGACCTGGCCCACCTGGTTCGTACCTACAAAGTGGGCAACCAAGTCCACGTGTTCCTCCCAGCCCACGCATCCCAAGGAGCCCCGGCGTATCCTACGACCCACGAGGACAACCTTCATCTATCCCTACTACTCCAAGAACTCCTCTGCCGCAACAATATTTATCTTCTCCGATTTCACCCGAAACACCTCCTTTAACACCACCGGGAGCCGTACATCATCACAAAAATTTTGATGATTCGCCAGCATTATATTTAAAAACAAAGAATTCTCGCCCATTAAATGGGCACGACTCCGTGGGAAGAGAAATGGATGATACGTTGAAGTATTATTACGATAGTGAGACTGAAGATAGCCCAAATGACACTGCCGAACCGGCATACCCCGCCGAAGCATTTCCTGTCGAATCAAATTATGGTTTGTGAACTTTTATTGGTGTTACATTGATAAAAAAGAAAAAAACAAATCATCATTTTTTCAATATTATCAATTAAGGTTTTTATCCTGGTCATGGCAATACAAAGGGTAAAGGGCGTAATAACTTAGAAAGCTCTCCTTTAAACACTGCAGTGAGTATCTCTGTTCGTTTAATTATGTTGTGGATCTAAATGACGACTCCGTCACTCACAGCGTGCCTTCACACAGGATATCAAAAAGAACCATCAATATCCGACTTACCCTTACAATGACACCTCACCTGCGTTCGACGACGAAAGTGATAATTATAATTTATATTATCCACATGTTCCCAATGGAAATCAACGATCTCGAGCAGATTACGTTGCATGGGGTTCAGATCATCAAGTACCCGTGTCAAAGGAAGAGATAGAAGATATTTTCATTGATTTGGCCAATAAATTTGGTTTTCAAAAAGAGAGCATGCGCAACATGTACGATCACCTTATGTGTATGTTAGACTCAAGAGCTTCGCGAATGCCTCCATCTCAGGCTTTGTTAACACTTCATGCTGATTACATTGGTGGAGAAAATGCTAATTATCGGAAGTGGTATTTTGCAACTCGTATGGACATGGATGATGAGTTGGCCGATACGAGAAGTGGAAAATATACTCCAGATCTGAAAGGTGATAACCTCAAAGAAAAATGGAATCAGCGAATGAATCAGATGTCACAGTATGATCGCATACGTCAGCTCGCCTTATGGCTCCTGCTGTGGGGAGAAGCTGCACAGGTCCGCTTCACAAGCGAATGCTTGTGCTTTTTATTTAAGCTTGCTGACGATTACGCAAAGAGTCCTGATTGCAAGTCAAAGGTTCAACCCGTTCCTGAAGGAGAATATCTGCGAAGCGTTGTGACCCCACTGTATCGTTACATTCGTGATCAGGGATATGAAGTGATCGGAAAAAAATTCGTCAAGAGGGAAAAAGATCATGCTGAAACGATAGGTTATGATGATATCAATCAATTATTTTGGTATCCCGAAAGTATTGATCGTATAGTCCTAAAAGGTCGATCTACACGTCTCATGGCATTGCCCCATAGTCAACGCTATCAGATGCTTGGCCAAGTAGATTGGAATCACGCGTTTGAAAAGACATATAAAGAGAGGCGTTCATGGTTTCATCTAGTTGTCAATTTTACACGTGTATGGATCATTCACGTCTCAATCTTCTGGTACTATACAGCTTATAATACACCATTTCTTTATACGGACCCCCAAAAGCCAGAACCAGCGATTCAATGGTCCATCGTTGCTCTCGGTGGTGCCGTGTCTACTTTATTCATGATTGCCGGGTGTATTAGCGAGATCTTCTTCATCCCTCTAAATAGTAGTAATATATCGACCCTGACAAAACGATTTATCTTTTTGGTAATCGTGTTGATCATAAATTCCGCTCCTACATACTACATATACGTGAAAGCACGTTCCGCTCCTACATCTTTAATAATTGGGATGGTTCAATTCTTTATATCATTGTTGACCACGTTGACTTTTGCCATAGTGCCGAGCGCGAATTTATTTGGTCGTTTATCAAAAAGTTCGCAGAAATCTCAGGCCCTCCAAACATTTACTGCTAATTACTCTAAACTTAACGCTACAGATCGGGCTATCTCAGTTGCTCTCTGGTGCTGTGTATTCGGGTGCAAATTTGTCGAATCTTACTACTTTATGTCACTTTCCTTCACCGACCCTCTGAAAGCGATGGCTAACAGAAGGGTTATTGGTTGCGGTGATAGACTTGCCGGAAACATTTGTTCTTACATGACTGTGGCATCCATAATAGTTATGTTCGTTACGGATCTTGTGCTTTTCTTCTTGGATACATATCTGTGGTACATCATATGGAATACCGTGTTTTCAGTTCTTCGTTCACTCTACCTTGGCATTGCCATCTGGACTCCATGGAGAAATGTCTATTCAATGTTGCCGAAGCGTCTTTATGCCAAGATTCTGGCTGCCACTAACATGGAGGTCAAATACAAACCAAAATTTCTTGTCTCACAAGTTTGGAATGCAATTATTATTGCGATGTACCGAGAGCATATATTATCCGTTGAAAATGTACAAAAATTGATATATCAAAAGGTGAGTGTTGTTGATGCAAAAAATCCATATCTCGTTGAATTGAAATGGGATTTTGTTGATCAAATTATATTCAATGATTCGATATTTTTTCATTTGTCAGACACCATCGGACGACGGTAAACAGGCGTTAGAATCTCCCGGATTTTTCCTTGCTCCTAATTCAGCTAACTTCTTCCCTTCAATGAGCGAAGCCGAACGACGGATTGCTTTCTTCGCACAAAGTTTGACAACACCAATTCCAGATCCATTACCAGTGCAAAATATGCCTACATTCACGGTGTTAACTCCTCATTACTCAGAAAAGATCCTTCTTTCTCTCCGGGAGATTATCCGTGAGGAAGATCAAAATACTCGAGTTACTTTGCTTGAATACTTGAAACAGTCACACCCGATTGAATGGGATAATTTTGTCAAAGATACAAAGGTCATGGCCAAAGAAAATAATAACAATAACATTAACGATGACCAATTCAGAAAGGAGTCAAAAGAATGCAAAGACAAAAACATGGACGATTTACCTTTCTACTTCATTGGTTTTAAGTCTTCGGCACCAGAATATACTTTGCGCACACGTATATGGGCTTCTCTTAGAACGCAGACCCTATACCGTACAGTCTCCGGCTTCATGAATTATTCAAAGGCTATTAAACTCTTGTACCGGGTTGAAAATCCGGATCTCATTTCAACGTACGCTAATGATCCTGAAAAACTTGAGGAAAAATTGGCAGCCATGGCACGTCGCAAGTTCAAATTCCTAGTATCGATGCAGAGGTATAGCAAGTTCAAAGATGAAGAACGAGAAAATGCAGAGTTCTTATTACGCGCCTATCCGGATCTCCAAATAGCCTATATTGATGAAGTGAAATCAGGGAATGGTGAAGAGCCAAAAGTGTTCTCCGTGTTAATTGATGGTCATTGTGAAGTGTTACCTGACGGGACGAGAAAGCCAAAGTATCGTATTCAACTTCCTGGCAATCCAATTCTTGGGGATGGCAAATCTGATAATCAAAATCACGCCATCATTTTTTATCGGGGCGAATACCTGCAAATGGTAGATGCCAATCAAGACAATTATCTCGAAGAATGCCTGAAAATTCGTAGCGTCCTCAGAGAATTTGAGGAATATGAGGTTCCACCAACATCTCCATATTCGCCTGCCGCCGAAATGACCCACAAGGATCCTGTAGCAATTGTTGGTGCTCGAGAATACATCTTCTCAGAGAATTATGGAGTACTCGGTGATGTGGCTGCCGGTAAAGAACAAACTTTTGGCACCTTAACTCAAAGAATTACGGCAAAAGTAGGTGGTAGATTGCATTACGGACATCCCGATTTCTTGAATGCTGTATTCATGACAACACGTGGTGGTAAGTGTTACTCCAGCAGAAACCTTTTTTCTCATTTGGTCTCAATTGAAATCGATAATTGATTCATGCAAACATCCAATTACAGGTGTGTCAAAAGCGCAGAAAGGTCTACACCTTAATGAAGATATTTATGCGGGTATGACGGCATTTTGTCGTGGTGGGCGTATCAAACACACCGAATATTATCAGTGCGGCAAAGGTCGCGACCTCGGATTTGGCTCGATCCTTCATTTCAACACCAAGATTGGAACCGGAATGGGGGAGCAAATGTTGTCCCGAGAATATTATTATCTCGGAACTCAGCTTCCACTAGATCGGTTCCTGACTTTTTATTACGCCCATCCAGGGTTCCACGTGAACAACATCTTCATTATGTTGTCAGTGCAACTATTCATGTTGGGCATGATGTTCATCGGTGCGATGGCTTCTACCCTGACACTTTGCGACTACAACCCCGATCCAAAAGCTGAACTTAGCCCACCAGGATGCTATAACCTGGTTCCCCTCTTTGATTGGATCAAGCGTTCGATAATTTCCATCTTTCTTGTATTCTTTGTAGCGTTCCTGCCATTGTTCTTCCAGGAGTTGACTGAAAGGGGTTTCATACGTAGCGCCATGCGCCTTGGAAAACATTTCATGTCTCTATCACCTTTCTTTGAAGTGTTCTCTACTCAAATTTATGCCAATAGTATTGTGACAAATCTTAGTTTCGGTGGTGCCCGTTACATCGCTACGGGACGTGGATTTGCCACTGCTCGTATCCCGTTCTCAATATTATATTCCCGGTTTGCCGGACCAAGTATCTACTTTGGGATGAGACTCCTGTTGACCTTACTTTTTATATCGATGACTATGTGGATTCCGCATCTAGTCTACTTTTGGGTATCAGTTATAGCGTTGTCAATATCACCGTTCATCTTTAATCCACACCAATTCTCCTTTACCGAATTTCTTGTTGACTATCGGGAGTTCTTGAGATGGATGTCCCGAGGAAATTCCAAAAGTCACGCAAACTCCTGGATCGCATATTGTCGCGTATCTCGAACGATGATCACCGGATACAAACGTAAGAAATTGGGACATCCTTCGGAAGAGACGGTCGGAGATATTCCCCGTCCAAGTCTGGCAGTTATTTTTGCGTCGGAAATAGTCTCACCATTTATATTGGCAACCTTTTGCGTCATGGCGTTTATGTTCGTTAAAAGTTTTGATCCACTGAATCCCGGACATCCTAACGAAGGACCTAGCGCTATCATCCGCGTTAGCGTAATAGCTATCATACCCGTTCTATTAAATGCATGTATGCTGGCCGGTCTTTTCCTTGTATCATTATTCCTGGGATCCATAGTGAGCTTCTCCAAATTTGGAGCCATTATTGCCGCGATTGCACATACCTGGGCAGTCATCAACTTAGTAGGCGCCTTTGAGCTTTTGTGGTTTATTGAAGCATGGAGTCTTCCTCACGCCATCCTGGGAATGATAGCATTGGCCTCAATTCAAAGGTTTATTTTTAAAACATTGATTGTAATATTTCTATCCCGCGAATTTAAGCACGATGAGACAAACAGGGCTTGGTGGACAGGAAAGTGGCAAGGTCGAGGATTAGGTGAATCGACATTCACACAACCTTTCCGTGAATATGTCTGTAAAATCGTTGAGATGTCACTTTTCTCCGCTGACTTTATATTGGGCCATATCCTTCTGTTTATGCTTGCGCCCATTTGTTTAATACCCTGGATTGATAAATGGCATTCTACCATGTTGTTTTGGTTGAGACCAAGCAAGCAGATACGAGCGCCAATATTCTCTTTAAAACAAAGACGAAAAAGGGCATACATCGTATGGACCTATGGGCTATTATTTGCAATAATGTTTATAACATTTGCCGGTTTAATTGCTGGACCTATATTCGTAGGGACTCATCTAAAATTGAAATTAAACATACCAATATAGAAAAGGTTGCATCATTACGACTCTGGGTTCGAAACATTATTTTGCATTGTACACACATCAATCAAATTTTTTTTTATTATAGAAAAAATATAGAGTAATTGCTTAATGTAATGATGATTATTATTATTTCTTTTTCTTTTTTTTTTTTTTTCGAGCCGTAAGCAAAAAAATGATATCACTACCAAAACTATAAAACTGATAATAATAATAAAATTTCTTTCCTTCATTTGCAACGTAAGCATATGAGTAAACATTACTTGAAAAGAAAAAATTGCATCTCGTTACATCTTAATGAAAGATTGGAATTACGTGATTTGTTTTCAGGCAAAATTCCAACGAGCAAAGTCAAAACGCATAAATACACACGAAAATTAAAGACATCTGAACTTTGGTATTTGTTGCAATGTTAACATCACATTCACCTCTCAATCCTCAGGCTTTGAATGTTGATACTTTTCCAATCTTTTCTCACTGATATGCGAATAATATTCCACTTTACCATTCGAAGTCTTTACATGCAAAGAATAGAAAGGATGAGCGTGATAATCAATAATAGTAACACCGGGTTTTTGCATGCAAACTTCAAACGTGTCGCCCTAAATACCATGCACATACAAACAAGTAAAACAAATACAACAAGATTATTTTCTGATGGAGTAACACTTTTTTCACTATGGTAATGCCATTAGTTAGTTACCTTGCGATGTTGATGATCGATATTTCTGTCATGTACAAGTTCCGGATGTAAAACAATACGGTCCTTGTATTTCTCGAGGTGCTCACTGGAAACTTTTTTAAGAATTCAAGTTTACTTTACTTTACCCAACACGAATTCTTACATTCGAATGATGATAGTATTATTACTCAACTATTTCCAAATTGTTCAATATTCCCTTCTGGCATCTTTACGTAAATAGAGTAACTTTCAAATTTGATGACTCCCTCAATGCAACCGCCTTCGTTCATAGTTTTTTCAAACGTGTCACGGTGGTGGTGCTCTGGTTCAGGAGGCTTTTCTTGTGCGATCTTTGTTTTAAATTGATTAAAGTGTTCCTCTGTGATGTTCGGAAAAACTTCAGTGTCATTTGATGGTAATTTCACGCGAACACTTGTAATGAAAGAAATTAGTATCCAAATACAGTAAATCACGTCCCCAAAACATTTTGACGAATTAATTAATTACGTGTAATTTCCTCGCTTGTTCTTGTGATACTCAATAATAACGCCTCCATTATGCATGGCATTCAAGAAATTGGTTCTTGATCCAGCTTTTTCAGACGATTCGTTTTCACCTTCCGAACTCAACTCTTGATTTTGTTTCGCTGCGTTCCCTGATTGAGCTGATGGAAAATTATCACCATCCAAGAAAGGTTTAACGTGTTCTTCAATGACGTTTGGGAAAAACTTCTCGAAATCGTTCGGCATTCTGATTCGAACCGCATAATGATTTGTCGCATATGCATTTGGATGACATTCAACAATTCGTCCGCCTTTGGCCATGCATTCTTGAAACGAATGAACCATCGTCGATTTCGTCTTATCATCAGCAGACATCTTTATTAAGGATAAGAAAGGATGAAAACTAAATGTTCCTTCAATATATTGGCAATATCAATAAAGTCATCATTACATCATTCTTACAAATTCCTCGAAAACTTATAAAAGGGTCATTTTTTTTTTTTTGTTTAATATCCTGATAATAATTTCTTTTCTCGAAAGTCTGTTAAATTTTACTTGTAAATGATGCATTACTATTATATACATTTATTTATTTATTTTATTTAATAAATAAATAATTTTTTTACAATATATGCACGATAATAGGCACATAAAAAAATCCAATTGATATCAAATTCACTATGCATCATCCTTATTAATCATATGTACATATATATATACACGAGATGAATTTTGCATTTTTCATTTATGCGTCTCTGATAATGCAAGTTCCTCTAATTCACATCGTCGAGATCATGTCTGCTTTAGGAATAAATGAATTTTATTGACAAGCGTTATTTTCTTATCTCAATTACCATTGTTGAAGGCTAATCTATCATTCTTCTAAATGGTATAACATTTTCTAAACTTATTTGACTCGCGATGAATGCTTATTATCCAAACCTAACATCAACTCCATCTTAGGACAACGCATCCGAAGACGAATTTAGCGATTCTGGATCTGAATCTTTCGTCCAGCGAAATATTCCTTCAATTGAATCCAAGGAAATTTGTCTTGACACCGTTGAGAATTGGATAACACATCGTGAGGAGACTGTGATGCGCATCGATCAATTCGTTCAAAGCAATCACGTGATATTTGTTCGCGCTCCCCCGTTCACAGGAAAAACCTCATTATGTATCTTGCTTGAGAAATACTACAGAAAGAAAGGAACATTCGTGACACATATTTGTTTCCTGGGTGTAGAAGACATGCCTTTCGAGGAATTTTGGGTGAATGAAACGGGAAAAAGTTGGAAATACTGGTTAGATTCTAAACACGGTTGGTAAACAATGCAATATTTAATTAAATCTCTATTTGCTATTTATTTTACTAATTGTTATTTTTAATTATAGTAAGTATCTTATATTATTTTGATTATCAATGACAAAGAATATCGAATTGTCATCATGTTGATAATTCGATATTCTTTGTCAAATATAAATAAGTCCGCTTTGCATATTTGAGCAAGATAATGTCAACGATAAAGTATCGAGGAGC